CCACACACACACACACACACACACACACACACGTATACCGTATGTATGTATAGAACATTATTTTGGCATATATATCTTATCATCTATGTATACCCACCATCACTGCCGACATACACTCCCTGTCTGTACCTACACTCGTGGCTCCACCAGTTCTCTCTATATAATAAGGTATCCTGGTGTATGATTTCGAGCTATGACTGACGGTAAAAAATGTGTCATATTTCACAGTAGACGGAGGTACAAGGTAGGAATTATTTCATTAACGGAGAGGAGCATGTTGATGTGTCATTTGTCATGTTATTGTGCCATAACCCCCTCCCCCCCCCCTGAGGCTCTAAGGCTTAGGTGATAATTTAAAAAAAAATGTTTGGATCTAAAAAAGGGGGGACGGGAGGGGTGTGGGTGGGGTGTGGGTAGGGTGGGGGGAGGGGGAGATCTATATCAGTACCCCGGAAAAAATAATGAATGACCCAGAAATCCCCTTAAGGTAGAACAGAGTATCAGTGTCATATACAGAAGACATTCACCCTTTAAGACGCATTATTTGACCTCATATAGACAGGTTGTAACTCAGTCTACATGGGGGAGGAAGGGGACAATTGTATTCGCTGTTCAGGAAGTTGTAATTAGGAATAGGTTTTTTCTGGCCGTGGGTCTAGGTGTTCGTCTGTCCGTCAGTTCGTGGTTTAAGAACTACGGTAACTCGAGCTAAATAGAATCATATTTTAAGCTGTGACCCCTTGTGGGGTGAGCGTCCGCCAGCTCCAGGTAAGGATACTCGACTGAGTAGTGCTCCCTGAGATGCTGATACACCTCAGTTTGTTGGATGTACAAATAAGGAGACTGAAAGTCAAACCAAAGCCACAGTCGATAAACGGATGGACGGGGTCGGTCTTCTTTGCTCGAGGTAAACAACATGTCAGTGAGGAACCGTGACTGTCTGGAGGTACAGAATGTACCATGGGAAAGTTGTAGCACAAGAAAATGAAGGCTGTATTTCTAGAAGACCAAATAACAACACCAGTTCAAGAGAGCTTGGGAATATCTCTGGAAAAGTGAGTCTATTGCTGTACTTAAGTTTTGTATATTTAAAATAATACATTGCATAACTTCTATTAGTAGCCTACTGTAGTGGATTTCTCCCCTACAAACGCTGTTTGTCGCTGAGTAGCCGACCCCACGAATTCCACAGTGTTTGCCTCGTGGTCTAGGTCAACCAGCGCCACATTACATGACGGAGGTCAACTACTAAGCCACGCCTACCTCCGCTATTTAAAACCTGACCTCGTGGTGACCTCTCTTCTTCTAGCTACAGCCGCTAAAGTAACCAATACTAGTACAGTAAATAACTACACCTGGTGGTTAATATTCGATTTATGGCTGTGACTGGATTTAAATATTACTGTACAGTATTTGGTTATTTTAAACTGGCGTATGGCAGTCAGAGGGATACAGCACCTATCTCCTGTTCTCGGGGTCGGGGGTTCGATTCTCGGGCACTACCAGTTCACCAAACTGTAAAGGGTAACCTAAGTTTACAACTTGGGAAAGTGAATGCTATAAAATTCAGTACCGCCCATGTTGCCTCCTTGTGTACTGAAGTCTTAGTATACAGTGTGCTGTATCCACACTGCCCGTGATGGGCAGTCATACCCATTTCATTAAAGAATAATTCATTAAAAAATAAAGCTAGGAATATATTTCGTTCTGTGTATAAATGAATATTAATGAAGTTATAAGCCATTTACTGTATTATTTAAAAAAGAGTGAACGTCTGTGATGTTACGGTTACTGCGGTTACTGCGTGTCAGCCATGACATTTCTTCATCTGTGCAGCGTAGAACAATGCTATGATTTTTTCTGGGTAAAGTGGAAACTTATAAACGTCGTTAATGCCCTCCGGACCACTTATTATACAATCTTTTAAACTAATAGTTTTTCTGTAAACCTTCCAAGATTAGTAACCAATTTTGGACTGATAAATCAGTGTTAGTTTACGTTTGTCTTTTTTTTTTTTTTGCATTTCTTTTGAGAGGGACAAGGTAAGGCACCTGAAGAAATAATACTGGAAATTCTATCCCTGCCCTCTTCCTTGACCACGTTGTCTTCACCCTTGACTACTCTCTTCCAGTTGAATCTCCCTCTATACATAACCACACCTGTATCACTGTACATCTTGATTCGCATTTCTTTTCACTGAATGGCAGAAAATTGCTCGGTCTCTCGCTGCCTCTCTCCTGGCTGTCATCAGGGAGATTTGAACCAAGTTTTATGGCTGAATGCCCTTTATATCACCTTCCCTTTTGTACAGAATGGGAACTGCTATATAGGAATAAAATACAAAAGGACTCTTTTTTTTATAATTTTATTGAAAAAGTCAGTGTTAATCTTTTTATTTATACAGTACAACATAAAGTTCCAATGTTTATGAAAGAGGTGTCCTGATAAAGAAGTGTACCCGGTACATACTATACTGTACTTTATTGTGGTAAATTTGTGGTATACAGTACACAGTATGTCAAGGTGCTCTTCAACCCATCCACCAATGTTGTGGTTATAAATGTTGGTGTACAGAACAATAAACAATAAACATTGATCATATAACACAACAGACTTTTATATTATTAACTAATTTGTTGACAATCAAATTTAAGAGATGATATATCAAGCCTGGAAAATCCTAAAATGGGCATGACAGTAAGAGGGTGTTTTTGGCCAGTCTTAACACAATGATGGCTACCGACATGGTGAAATTCCAAACCTACTATATCAACATACAGTATTGCAATGAAGAAAAATATCGATAAACTATTTAACAATAAAAGTAACACTTATAACTTTTTGAGTGAGACATCAAAGGTTAGGAATGCTAAATCTGCTGCTTGTACCTTACATATAATAAAACTCAAGATAAAATAAAAATTCATTCATCAAGAATGCACATAATAAATTAACTCTCAAGACTACAAGAACAGGTGACTGGTCATATAGGCCTTAGGTTTGGTCAGGTCAGGTCAGGTTAGGTTAGGGCCTGCTAAGACTGTGGCCCATTTGACTTGCAACCTGAGGATTTAACTTTTGGAGTTTTATAATTGCAATAAAATTAACATGTTCACACAGTCAGTTAACTATCAAGCTACTGTAGACTACCATATATTGAACTATTTACTGTGCTTTTAAGAGGTAGGAGTCTTCAGTGACCGGCTTTACCCAACTGAGTGAAAGAAAGGACCTGGAGAATCCACAGAGGAAGTTTAACAGGTCCTGAAAGTTGTACGAGGAAGTTTGACGAGGATAAGGGTGTTTGGTGAGGATTGGGAATTGCTTAAGGAAGTTTGCTGGGACTGGCAGTTACTTAAAGAAGTTTGATGGTGATTAGGAGTTAAATGAGGAAGTTAGGTAGGAGGTGATAGTTGCACTTGGAAGTTTCATGAGAATTGAGTGTCCTGAATTATCCATAAAGGCTTACATAGTAAAGTGAGGTCAGAGGGTCTTGGAGAGTCGGGAACTGTGCTAACATATTTGTACTCTGACCCTAAAGCTTATGTTCATATAGTTTAGTATGTAGTGCATTAGCAAAATGGCCAAGTGTTAAGATAAATTCTGCACCAATAATGTGACCACTAAACCATTATTTTAAGGCAGATTATCTAAAACCCACCACAATTTAGCAAACCTTGGGTAGTATTTATAAACTGTACAGAGCAGTAGGCTAAGTGCTTCACTAAAAAATTAAAACCATAGTCTGTCTTGGCTGGGCCTCACAGCTTTGCACTGCATCACAACAGTGGTGTAGTTTCTCTGTAACTTTCGTGTGCTCCACAGCATGTACTGTACAGTATGTTACTATGTTTATTATTGGCTTATAATCATTGCCCAAAAATTTAATTAAAAACAAGTTTTGTTGTACTGTATTTTATTGTTATGAGGAAGGTTTTTTGTAGGTGCATATCTCGGCTTTTATAATAGGAATCTGTGGTAAAATGTAATTGGATTTACAAATGGATTTTCAGGAACGGGAACCTTTCATAAATCCGGAAATGCTTGCACTGTACAGTACAGTATGTCAATTTCCAGTTGTTATAAAATTGCTGAAAGCATTAGCTAAATACTGCCCTGTATTCACATGCTGCCAATAATTATACAGGTTGCAACTTATTCTTTCCTTTTCAAAAGATACAAATTTTACAAAACTTCCCTTTTGGCACACACCAGTGTATTGTGGGGAAGGCTGACCAGCGACACAGAGATAGATACAGTAGTTGCCACTCGGCTATCGTAGAGGTTGCATGTATGAGGTTAATAAAATCTTTAATTTGTTTATCATTCATAATTTGTATATCATCCAAGGGTTCCACAACTTTTGTTACTCAAATTTCTAAGATTTTCTATTTTAAATTTTAATACTTTCAAAGCTCCTTTATACTACATAGCCACCCGAACAAAATACGTGTACCACAGAGGGTCCCCGAGTTTATTCCTGGACCCTGATCAAAAGTCTGTGGCGATGCTGTACAGTATCTTTGTTGAATTCTTTATAAATGTGTGTAGTATATAGGGTCATGCATCCTACAAGTCAATTTGTTCATAACTCAGAATCATGTTGATTTGACAATAAAATACTGTATGAATAAGTCACCCCTGCCTGTAAAGTCTTAAAAATTGTAACCCATAAATAACAATGTAAATAATGTACAGAAAAAATGGTACATATTAATTATCTTGAGCCCTGAACAAAGTACTGTACTGTTGCACTTTTACAAATGCTGTAGAAGGATTTTATTATGAATCTTAGGGGAACACATTAATAAGTACAGGTTTTCATAACTGAAGTTTGTAACTCAGGGGCCCCCTGTACAAAACAGTACAGTGTATCAACTTACAAATGAACAATAATTAATTCTAGATTTCTTTTTGGCCTCCACATCACTCCTTGAAGCCAAAACTTTCCACTCACTTTAATTTTCTTTTACAACAAAGCTATGATGAAAATTTTAAAATGAAATCATATTATTTTATTATTACAACACTTTGTACATGTTATCATTTTTATAAAATATACTGTAGATCTTTGCTGTTGGCAGAACAGATGAAATTACAACTGTTTATGAGGATGAATTTTGGGTTTACACTTTTGTTTCAAGTTTGTATTAATTTTACACAAAGTATCAACAATAATATGTTAAAAAGGACTGGAGTTGATTTAAAACTGGCCATAGTTGCTCTTGCTTCATTACTACAAATATAGATTCATTAGTTTCTTTGAAATCTTGGGTCACAATACTGACAGTTACTAAGTTGAAAAAACACTTGTACAGTAAGAGTTGTACTTGGTTGTTAGTTATGTACAGGTATGTATACTGTGTATTTATACAGTACACTACAGTATATATAAAATTCTCTCCCACTGTGAATATACTGTATGTATCAGTATATAATGTGCAACATATACAAATCTATATATCTATACTAATGTCAACAATCACAATATCTAAATATGAGTAATGTATGAATTGTGACACATTGGTTCAAATTGAACTAAAGGACCAATTCTCTCAGACACTTAAGGTGTCCAGGTAAACAAACCTTAAATTTCCTCCTTGATAGCAATAGTGTCTATTTCCAATTTCTCAATTTTTATAGTTGTAGGTTCATTATAGATCTCTGGTTCTTGTGGCTCTTCTGTCTTACAGATGATGAAGTTTGGGTCATTATCAACATCATTGTCAGGTGTTTCATCGGTGGTCTGACACAACACATCTCGAATGTGAATCTTCTTGTGCTTTTTTAGGTCGCATTTACGTGCAAAGAATTTACTACAGTTCGAGCACTGAAACTGTCTATTACCAGTATGAATGATCATATGTTCGGATAGATTACTTTTATGTGCAAAGTCTTTCTGACACACTGAACACTGAAAAGGTCTCTCTCCTGTGTGAATTTTTCTATGCTTAGTCATATTATATTTGTGAGCAAAGTCTTTAAGACACACCGGACACTGAAATGGTTTATCGTGTGTGTGTACCGTCATGTGTCTCGTGAGAGCATTTTCTCGTTTAAAGCATTTGTGACACCGTGAACACTCGTACGGCCTCTCTCCCGTGTGAACTGTCATGTGCTTCATCAGATTATATTTTTGCAGAAAGTTTTTATTACAAACTGAACACTGAAACAGTTTCTCGTGTGTGTGTATTCTAACGTGCCTTTTAAGGAGAGTTTCCAGGGCAAAGGCTTTGTGACATTCTTTACACTGAAATGGCTTATCTGTGGCATGATTTTCCATGTGAAACATAAGACTAAGTTTTTGTGCAAATTCTTTATGACATTGTGAACACTGAAATGGCTTTTCATTTCTATGAAACCTCAAATGTGCTACAAGACTAACTTTATGTTTAAATTTTTTGTGACACTCTGAACATTGATATGGTAACTCACCTGTATGAACTAGCATGTGCCTTATTAGAGTATTTTTATGTTTAAAACTTTTATTACACTCTGAACACACAAATGGCTTTTCGTTTTTGTGAACTTGCATGTGTGATATCAAATTACCATTCTGTTTAAAATACTTATTACATTCTGGACACTGAAATGGTGTTTCACCTGTGTGAACTCTCATGTGTTTTATCAGCACAGACTTGCGTGCAAAGAATTTACGACAGTCTGGACACTGGAATGGTTTTTCACCTGTGTGAACTTTCATGTGTTGATTAAGATTGCCCTGGCGTGAAAAACCTTTATGGCACTCTGAACACTGAAAGGCTTTCCCTCCTGTAAGACCCTCCATTTTTTTTCAAAGATTCAATTATTATGTAGCTCAGTATTGATGACACAAGTAGGTTTTCTTGTTACTAATTATATGATATGAATTTAAATTCTTGTACAAAGTTTGTACAGTACAACACTAAATACTGAAATGGTTTCTTTTGTACAGTAAACAACTACTACTGCGAGATAGTTTGTCCACTCAAAACTTAAATGGTGTATTTCCTGAGATATGCATGTGATTTTACATCTCTTAAATATATACAGTTATTTTAGCTGTCACACTTAGCAAAATATTATATAGTTCATTTATATGAAACCCTAAACTTTAGAAATTTTTTATTTCACAGTACAGTATAGCACCAAGTCTTCCATTGTCATACATACTGTTGAACAGCACAATACACAGGTTAAACTTTAAATAATACTGTAGTTGAATATGAGCAGTAGGTTCAGTAGATATTAAGGATGTCTATATATGATTAATTTTATTTTTGGACTGGTGGTGAACTGTAATGTACTCTGTGATGACTGGTTACTTGTACTATACACTCCATGATGCACTACACAGATAACATAAGTGATAACTTCAGTGGGGAAACTAGCAGTGCTGGGAAGGATTTAAGATGCACAGGAATTGGGTAAAGACACTGAGCCACGACATAGCTCTTCAAGCTATGCCACAAGAGAAAGTCCTACAGAGAACTGATTTGACATTTACAACACAGATAAAAACACTAATTGCTTGACAAACTCATCTTAGATTAAAACAATATTTTTAATACTGTATTACTCTTTTTTGTTACCACTTGCATTTCTTTCATTTATGAAGGCCTCAACCACTTTTAGTAGATTCTCCATTTATTACACTTGAAGTTTCTTGATATCTTGTTATGTTTTTTGTAGCCAAAGTATTTAGTGAAGCACGATGATGTAATTTAGAGCTAGTCATAAGAGCAATCTTTCTTGAGGCTCCATCTTGTGTCCTCTTGAGACCACGGACTGCCAGTACTTATCTGTAGGAAGGAATACCAAAGATTTAATAAATACTCCAACATTCAGGTATAGTAATTGAAGCTACAGGAATATCCTTCAAGAATAGCTAGTTAAAATAGGAGCAATGCAAAGTGGTGGAATATCCCTCAGCCAGTTTTATCATTGGTGAATAGGTACAGTAAAATAGCTACAGTATTACCATTATTTCCTGTTTTATTCTTTTAAAATATAATAGAATTCCTTTCTACAAAAACAACCATTTCTACAGTCTAAACATGGCGCTGTTGGCAAGGTCATATTTAGCCGTCTTCCTCCGCCCATTCCACACGCCAAAACTTATATCTCACACACCGTATTGTTTGTGCATTTTTTGTATGTTTCTGAAGGCAAGAAAACTTTTATTTTCTATGGAGAAATTTCGTTAGGTAGCTGCTGAAGCCGGACCACTCTCGTCAAATATTACCCAACATCCTAACTAATATAACCTAACCTAATGCACTTCCTTCCTAGGATAGATTTGTTTGGTTAGTAAATATGGTTTGGTTATTTGATTGATCATATTTATGATATACCATCAGTCGGTGGTTGGCAGCAAATGTTTGTGGGTAAGACAAATTGCTCTTCAAGTATGAAAACCGTCTGATACAAAATCGCCAAACCAACGATATAGAAATTACCGTAAATTTTTTATTTGTTGCTAATGTACAATATCTTATTAATTCAAGAAACATTTTGCTGTTTGCACAAAATGTTTACGGAATGGAAGCGTTTGTCTCTTAGTGCTCACATAAATAACTGATAATGCTAATGCTGGTGCACCGAGGTAGCAGGTTGACATAGGTTCATCATCTGGATGAAATAATTTTAAGAAAAAAAAAAGTACTGTCACTGTTGGAAAGTTGCAATACTTTTTTTTTAAGAGAGAGAGAGAGAGAGAGAGAGAGAGAGTGTACTGTTGACAAGACTATGACAGTCATAGGGGCCTTTTCAATGCTATTTTTGTAAATTCTAACTTATGTTTTTCCTTTCTCCCCCATCATATTATATCCTAGGAATTGAAATAAATGTATCCATGACGATTGTCAAATTATACCAAGAAACAGGTGGTGACCCTCCCGTGTTACAACTTAAAAGACATATGTGTCACATAACACTGGTAATCATATTTCCTTTATAAATATTACATCCAGTTAATCCGTGGCGGTGAGTAAAATGACTAATTGTACCTCGTACTGTACTGTGGGGTCAGGACCAGGGCAGCTGCTTCTAGTGTTAGGTTGGTGCTGATACGTCAACACACTCGGTACTTAACTTATATGGTACGTGGGAACTAGGAGTAAGCGTCTACTTACATGAATCACTATATAAAGTGTTCTTACCTCCTAAAATAGGTTGGTTTACTTAATAAAATACAAATACAGAAAACAGTAGGCCTTCAGCAGATCACTGGCCAAACGTAAACAAAGAAAGTTTGTGGGGCGACGTTCGGCAACTGAATCCGGATGTCGTTTATTACATTTTTTTTATAATTAGGACTATCCTTTACCTAATTCATTTTCACCTGCTGTGAATTAACCCATGATTAAATCTGTTACGCTTAATAAATATAATTAAAACAAGCTGAAACGAATTTTATAAAACATAGAAGCGTATGGATCGAGGTGGTCTGGAGGTGTGGCTTTGGACGTCATCCCCCCTCCCCCTACCATCACCTAGCGCAGACGTGAGCAACTTTCTCTTTGTTAACGGACCTTTGGGTGCACTCACATAGCTCCTACACACACATACATGTTCATAAAGGCAAGCATGAACTTAGCATGCTTCCCAGTTGGGCACTGTAAACGCTTCTGCGCTTCACCTTGCACAGAATGTAAGGGGGTGCCCTATAAACTAGCTCCCTCCGGGGCAATCTGTAAAAAAACACACATATATATATATATATATATATATATATATATATATATATATATATATATATATATATATATATATATATATATATATATATATATATATATATATATATATATATACGTGCGCGCCTTAGTGCGTGTTTTTTTGTGTTTTTTTTGTGTTTTTTTTTACACGCTGATACGTTAGCCTCTTTAATAAGGTCACTACCTCGGAGGTCAGGAACCATTAAAACCATAAAAAGACTCACTAGACCGGAATCCCTAGATGTTGTCGGTGCCTGATGATGACAGTTCTCTCCACCATCATGTAGAAGGCGATAATAAAATAAAAATGGATTACAGTAGATGCCGAATTCTCAGTTAAATGTTCGTGAGTTAGTATTTACCTCTACTGAACATACGAGAATGGTGCTAACGAGAAATTGTGTTTAATTAAGGTTACATTACAAACTTCGCTGTCTAAATGGTAAAAAGTTTGCTCCAAGAGACTGTTGTAACTAGACAAATTCTCCTTTTCTCTGTAAAGAGGAAAAGCAATAATATATGAAGCTTAAAGAACCTTGGCGCAGATCTGGAACAGATTCTTTTGTAAAGAAACTGAGAAAAAAGTCGGTGATAAGGCAGACTATTTAGAAACTTGGAGGATCATGGCGAGATAAGGATGACACTAAACACGTCTTTCAACAGCGATAACACAAACTTTAGTGGAGTCAAGTTTTCACACGGCGGCAAGATTTATGTTCCCCATAGAATGACCTTAACCATTATTAAAACCCTTGACCCGGCCACCTCTAACTTTAAACTCTAGTGACTGAAGCAGTATATATAGTCTCCGCGTATAGAGAGTGATGGACAAGTTACGTACAGTTTTAGGGTTACTTGATCCGTTATTTATAAAAAAATGTCAATCCTCGTCAGCTGATTATAAAACGCCGTGTTTGGCGACGGTGAGGCCAGAGGCATACGAACACAGTATCAGTACTCTAATATTTTACATCTTCAACTCGGCACCGTGATTTCTAATGTGTAATTTATAATGTGTTTTCCTTCTCTTGCAGCAAAATACAACGAGCGGCGGAGCGTCGGCGGTAGCGGAGCGTGGGGTGTCTGTAGGCCCTTGGCGAGTGCCTGAGGAACAACTGCCTGTACTGGTGGGCACCATCACTGGCGCCTCCCTCCTGGTCCTCCTCCTGCTCTCCCTCCTCCTCTACACCTGCTGCCACCACAACCCCACCCACAAGAACTACAGTCAGTACCAGTGTAATGCATCCATGTTGTTTGTAACCTTAAACGGAATTGCAGGAACTTTACTATGTAGTTTTTTTCGCTTGATTTTGTATTACAGAAAGACCAAAATATGCAAGGCCATGTATGTACAGTTCCTCTCTGTTATTGCAGGTAGGAGATCATTTTGGCCACCCTCTCTGTGTCATGGCTTAATGAGCCACTCACATAGGTTCTTACATCTCCAGTCAGGAGGTGGTGTGTGTGTGTGTGTGTGTGTGTGTGTGTGTGTGTGTGTGTGTGTGTGTGTGTGTGTGTGTGTGTGTGTGTGTGTGTGTGTGTGTGTGTGTGTGTGTGTGTGTGTGAACAAAGAAATTATCACTTGCCTCAGCAGGGGATCAGCCACTGTAATTAAGAGATTGTTCCTAAGATAAGAAGCTTTCCCCCATGAGGCCTGCCGAGTCTACGTTCCTGAAGGTTAGTAAAGATTATATTTTTTTCCGTAACTGAAGATAGTGAAAGGTTGAGAGCGGTCACATAGGCTCCTCCTGCAATATAGTGACCAAAGGAGTATTAGAAAGGCTCCAAGAGTCTCCCATACCCAAATGCTACCCAAGTACATAGAGACATTAAACCTGTATCTCTTATTAGACCCCTAGTGAATCTTTGTTTATTGAGCGAGGCTGGGAGGGGGCAGGGGAGGTGAAAGCCACATTACAAGAAACTTTCATGTAAACAAAGACAGTTTCTATGTTTCGTGGTGTTGTGTTGTTGGCAAGAGTAAGAGAGACCCCCCCAAAGACCATAATGAAAAAATCAACTTAGGAGAAATTAGGCAGTACTTTGAGACAGGTTAAATCACCACAACCATCATCATCACACGACATCTACCACCAACACCACTACTACCACCATCACACTACCACTACTACCACTACCAAGCACATGTCCACATCTGCGTGGCCCTTACAATTCGCTCTCTATTACGGTAATAAAAAACGTACCCTCCCATTCCGCAAGTATAATTAGCTTTGAATAATTAGTTAAGTATACGGTTGCCACACTACCATTTTCTGTATTTATAACCGTATCATGCATGGCTTTTGATGTTTTTATTTAGGTTGGTAACAGCACTTTTATGGGGATTTTTTTTTACATATTTTTTTATTTTTGGCACGTTTTCCTTCATAGGTTTTTAGATGAGGTTGTAATGTTACTTTTATATGTTAATAGTTGTACACTCTACCCATGGCTGACCAACACGGTGTTATTCCCTCTTTGAAATGTTTATATTAAAATTAATAGTGATGGATTTAGTTGATTTATGAGCACTATAGCAGAAACTTTGTATTTTAACTCCATTGAGAAGCCCAGAGTATCGAAAGATTTCCCTATCATCTCGCAGTATTTCAATTTGCCTTTAATTTTCTCATTCTTTCCATGTGATCACCCGATAAGAGACTAAACTAAAACTAATTATACATTGTTATGTCTGTCAGATGATAATGTATAAAGTTTGTTATTGTAAAGGTTTGTTTATTTCACGGCCAAATATTCAGTGCCATTTGCTTAATTTGGCGTCAAACCCTTGTACAGTACCCGCCCAGCTGTTACCATGGTAAATGATTTGATATGAAACAGTCTATTTATTTTCATGTTCCATTTCCGTGCATCGCCTTATCTCGGTATATTTGTCCTTCGTATGAAACAAACTGTTGAAATTTTATACAAATACACAAGACATCGCTTCGGCTCCGGTTAAACAAACTCCCTCCATATATGTTTACCAAGTTCATTTTCAGACACACTTGATGAGTTTCACGATGCCATAACTTCACAACCAACCCTGCCAGTGTGCGTTGCTGATCAGGAAAATCATATTGCAAACTGTGTGGGATTTTCAATAATACATTGTTAACTTGTCTGAGTGCAGGAATGTTGATGTGTAACAAGAATTTCATCAAAATTGGATTATTATCGTGTGTTGTATGCGGTATTTTAAGACTTTCTTGGTTACATTTTGTTCCATGAGTTAGGTGATAGATGAAACATTTGGCTGATATTGTTTTGATTATTTTTATTAATTTTGTTACTATTATTTGTTTATGTTCTTAGTCATGATTATTTTCTTCTTATTTTTTATTATTATTAGTCAGGTTATTGTTTGTATACAGTGAATTAAAAAGGAAAAGTTTGATGTAAGTTTGTATAAGAGGCAGGAGCCGCTACTTTCACGACACCAAATCTCACAACTTTCTCGCTGCCAATTTATCGCTCCACAAACTTTTATTCTTCGTAAAGGGAAAAAAATCCCGGTTATAGTGAGTGGATAGAATTTTGTTGCTGGATATCAAGACTATGAACCGACGTGTCTGAGCCTTTGAGGTCTATATGTGGTCATACTGGTGTGTAGTGTGTACTGGTGTGTAGTGTGTACTGGTGTGTAGTGTGTACTGGTGTGTAGTGTGTACTGGTGTGTAGTGTGTACTGGTGTGTAGTGTGTACTGGTGTGTAGTGTGTACTGGTGTGTAGTGTGTACTGGTGTGTAGTGTGTACTGGTGTGTAGTGTGTACTGGTGTGTAGTGTGTACTGGTGTGTAGTGTGTACTGGTGTGTGCATGGGGTGTACTAAGGTGTTATATGTACCGGTGTATTTCTTGTGTTATTTTACGGATCAACAAGTTCGAGAAATGGTATGTTATTATTGTCGGGACCAGGAATACACATCTTGGTAGTAAGACTGTCGTTTGTAATACCTGGCAGTGTAGTTGGTATACCATCGTTATCCCAGACAAGTTTAGGGAGATTTCAACGGAGATACGCCCTTAACCGTATCCCTGAATCCTGACCAGGCTTCGGCTTGACCACTTGAGTCTGGCCACAGTCACCTGATGGCCAGAGAACGATGACTATAAAACACTTGCTGATCGATGGTCTCTGGACTCAGTGATGGGATGGTAACTTCCGCTTAACCTTGGTTCACAGAGCAGATACGTAAATCATTAGTTGTTTGTCAATAAATGATATACAAGACCTTAAAATAGTCCAAACATAATGAAACTCTGTGTATGTGTATCTTTAGTTTATATACAAGGACAATCACAGTAACGCCTTGATTTATTACCTGTACGTAAATGTGGTGTTACCTTTATGACACCATCACCGTGAGGGGCGAGCTCTCCCATGATATAACAGGTAACAAGATATATAACCAGGAGTGACAACCACACATAAGTGAAGGTTAACCCGGACTTATTGCACCTGATGCTTAAACACCCTAACGCTATTTACGAGCTTGGCTAGGCTTGTGTTGTGTTGGTGTGGTGTGGTTAATCGTGTGGTGAAATATATGAACCTAATGAGCAAGTTTAAAAGTTCTATGTTGTGTTTACAAAGTGATCAGACATATCCTGAAGTATATTACATTAAATCACGTTATAATTTAATATAATACTGTATTTACATAATTACGTGATGGCGTTTTAACGGGACACATACCTGCATTTTTACCTGGTTAGTTAACATCTACAAATGAATATTATTTATACTTTGAATATTTATTTTTGTATCGGGTAAACAAACAGCTAAGATAATCATTTGGCAACTCTCCAAGCTGTCCCCTTCATGAATAGTAAAGATAAGAATATTGGAAAACCACGGGGTCATTAGGATGTGATAAACAGATGGGATATTGGGAGATGTGGCAACGGTACGAGCGGGAGATAGAAAGTGGACGGAGTTTGGATCACAGAAAACGGGAAATAGTGAAGGGGAAGGTGATGTAAATAATTTTAGGGCGTATTATTGTGTATTCAGATGATCTTCCTTGTTCTTGTTTGATTATTCGTGTGTGTAAGTGAGTGTGTGTGTGTGTGTGTGTAAGTGAATGTAAACCTCCATTAGTGTTGACGTTCTTGTGTGGACGTGTTTATGATTTATGTACGAATGTTTTTTTTTATTTTTGTTTTTTTAAATTTTATTTACGTGTCGACAGGTTTTTTAGTGTTTTAATAGAGGTAAAGAGAAGACAACCACAAGGAAGTCTCAAAAAAATTCATACTCAAATGACCCGGTTCAAAATGGGCTTCAAATATAGACCAGCGTAACAGTTGCCAGATGGATCGAGAGAGAGAGAGAGAACTGGCCACCTCTACCTTAAAGTTATACTATGGCGAACCTACTGAATGAATCTAAATTTATTGAAGGGGGAGGGTTGGGGTGGGCTAGGGAGGGTTGGGGTGGGCTGAGGAGGGTTGGGTTGGTCTGGGATAGAGTGGATGGAGGATGGGAGAGGGAGGAGCTGGGAGAGAGAGGAGATGGGAGAGGGAGGAGATGGGAGAGGGTGGATTCTGCACGACGCCCATGACCTCCAAGCTGTCCTATGGATGAATGAGTGAGAGAGAGAGAGAGAGAGAGATGGAAGAGAGTTGAGAGGAAGAAGAGAAGGAAGAGAGTTGAGAGGAAGAAGAGAAGAGAGCGTATGAGAGACAAGAGAGGAGGAGGAGGAGGCCCCGGCGCAATGTGTTTCAGGAATGGTAGTTTTGACAAATCAATGAGGGAAAACGCAGGAGGATTTTCCGTGTAGCAGGAACCTCTGTGACGTCCCCCTAGGTACTGTCACAAATATTTCTCCCTGGCGTTAGGTTAGGTTAGGTTAGAACAGCATGAATTCAGGTTAGGTTTGGTTAGGTTAGAACGGGATAAATTAGTGTAAGATAAAGTAGTATTACCTTAGAATGTTGCGTTGGTCACCTGCTGAGAACAGAATGTCTCAATGGGAGGTCATTCGTCAACAGTGTCACTCGTATATCAGTATCACTCGCCCATCAGTGTCACTCGTCTATCATTGTCACTCGTATATCAGTGTCATTCGCCAATCAGTGTCACTCGTCTATCAGTGTCACTCGTCTCTCAGTGTCACTCGTATATCAGTGTCACTCGTCTATCAATGCCATCCGTTATTGGAGGCCACTTGTCTATCATTGCTCTTCATCAATGGTGCCACAGGTCAATGGTGCTACTCGT